TCGATCGAGAGGTGATTTGGCAACTACTTCGCTACTACGGGGTGCCACCGACAATTATACATCTCATGCAACAGTTGTATGACAACGCTGCATGCCAAGTAATCCACAACGGGAAGCTCACGGAATCCTTCGAAGTGAAGACAGGAGTAAGACAGGGTTGCCTATTATCGCCAATGATTTTCCTGATTGCAGTAGACTGGATAATGCGACAGACAGCGGGCAATGAGGAAACAGGCATAAAATGGACTCACACAAAGAACTTGGAGGATCTGGACTTCGCCGATGATATATGTCTGATTTCTCACAAACTGGAAGATATGCAAGTGAAAAGTAACAAGTTGGCAGAAGAAGCATCAAAGATAGGACTCCAGGTGAACATAGAGAAAACAGAGGTGATCAAGATTCCTGGCCAACACCAACAGCCACAGCAACAACAACAGACAGCAATCAGCATAAATGGAAGGAACCTGAAAGAAACAACCTCCTTTACCTACCTGGGAAGCATCGTTTCAACTACAGACCGGCGGAACTGACGAGGATATCAAAGCAAGAATCGGAAAAGCAAGACAAGCTTTCATTACTCTAAAGTCTGTGTGGAGGTCAACAGCACTCAGCATCAAAAATAAGATCCGGATTTTCAACTCCTATGTGAAGTCAGTGGTACTATATGGATCAGAGACTTGCACCACGCGTCATAAAGAGCATCTCAAACAAACTACAGACCTTTATTGACAGTTGTCTTCGCTCAATACTCAAGATCAGATGGCCAGAAATGATCAGCAACAGGGATCTTTGGGAACGAACCAACCAGGAACCGATTGTGAAACAAATAGGCAGGAATAAATGGAGATGGATTGGCCACACTCTTAGGAAACCATCAAGTGACATCACTAGACAAGCCATTGCTCGAGTGGAACTCGAAAGGGAAGCGGCGAGTTGGTCGTCAGTGCAAGGGTGACTGGGAGGAGGTCATGTGAAGAGGAGATGAAAACGTGTGGACAGATTTGGAGTCAGGTAAAGACTCTAGCAGAGAACCGAACGCAATGGAGAGGTTTGGCTGAAGCCCTATGTTCCTCTAGGAATTAAATGAAACAATAATAATAATATCCTCTTACGAGAAGACTCAGTAATCCAGATATCAATATGACTTGAATGACATATTGACTCTTTGGTAAACATCAGGAACATCGTAATTCAAAGTTTCAGTGGCTGGGTATTTATATTGCTTCTTATAAAATAAGTCTAACATTGATTTTCAATGTCCAGGTCTCAAAAGATCTTGAACGTAGCGTTGATTCCAGAAGACTAATCCATGCCTCAAAAATACTATGTGCAGTAGGCAACGCAAGAATATCGGAAAACGGATTGGGAATACGAGGATCGTTTATTTTCTCACCAAAAATAAAGCAGAACAGGGTCACAGGGCATAAAGTCTATAAATTAAAGTTAATGTAAAGCACAATAATGCTTCTTATCGTTTTTCACCAGTCGTCTACCAACCAGTGTAAGATGACTCAAAGGCTGTCACTTTGGTTTCCCGCCAAATGGAGAACAGTTCGAATAAACAAATTATATGTTGCTCATTCAATATTCACCAACATTGAGACTTACTATTCAATCTCTAGCATCCTTGAAATCTTACCACCTTGTGACTTATCATTTTCCTTTTGCTTGTTTTAATTGCAGTTTGTGCGTCGGTGGCATAGCGGTTAGGACGCTCGCCGACCATGCACATGGTCCGGGGTTCGATCCCCGGACGACGAACTCCTTTACCTCTCTAAACCAGGAATAAAAGCTGGTAAAGAGAAAAGGTTGGGCATGAGGCTAGCAACCACAACCTGTAAAATAAAAAACACTGCTACAGAAACTTCAAGCCTCTAGCTTGGAGCCCTATGTTCCACTGGGAACGTGAAGGAAAAAAATAAATTGCACTAGTGTCATGCTGTATTGCCTTAAACTGTTGCATTTCACTCCTACGTTCAGATAGGAGGCTTTATTTTACTCCTGATATGATTTTTATCAATAAATTGTGCTCGAAATGTCATCGGTAAATAATACTGTGTATCACTGAGTGATTATATCAAATAGATTTACTCCATAGTTGAATTATACTCTACCACAGTGTCCTAGTTCTGTTCTCTTATATTTTGCGGTTAACGTTATGAAAGCTTAGTATCATATTTTAATGGTACAGTGTTCAATTTTATGGAATGAAGTTCTTTCTCATGTGATCAACTGTTGTATTTGTGAGATTTACCTTCTTTCTTACTTAATCAATATTTTTACCGGTTTTCACAGTAGTGCATATCTTTCGTCTAAGATTTGAATTCTGAAAAAAAGACTACAAGAGATTACTCTTAGAAAGAAGTTGTTAAACACTTTATCTAGAAGGTTGAAAATATCATTCTTCAGCTTGACATTATAGTTGGTGTCTCATTCTTACTTTTCTTTTTTAATATATGGCAGGTGATATTTATGTATATTTCCTTCAGTAATGACATTTAAGCAGACAACATTTATCGTTCGAAAAAAACTTCATTTCCTAATGCAAATACCTCTTAAACATTTTCAAATTGTATGCCTCGCAATAAAACATGGTGAATGCAATAACATTTTTGGGGAACGCTTTATAAGTAACTGTAGTTACTGGACTTTTTGTTTTGGTGATCGTTAATTTTTTTGTGATTTCAATGCACTCACCAACTAGAATATCTGTTAAAAATTTTTAACTACTTTTAAATAGTCAGTAGTCAAAGTAAATCTGTGTTCAGAACAACACATACAAATGGATGATACTGTTATCAATCAGATCTTCTTGTTTGCTTAAATGTGTTGTTCTAAATTTAACTATGGGAATGCTCATTATTTTGATGTCTATATTCCTTCAGCTGACTTCATTGATGGGAAATAACACTGTTCTTGGTGTAAAATGTGTCGTTAAAGAATAAATCAGATTTCTAATAAGAGAATAATGACTCCCAGATGGAATACACTTTCAAAACCTACTTGTGTATAAAAATTAAAAAGGTGGTTTTCTCGGTTTAAGAAGCTAAAAATTGCAGTCTTCTGAACTCCTCAAGCAAGAACCTGAATGTTAGGCTTGTGGTTCATCTCGTGTTAAGTGAATACGGTGCCACATAACTAACTGGTTTACGTCAATTCCTAGTTTAACAAAACAGTCGGGAAGCCTTTTTAATGTGTTGGTCAGCCCTAGTCGACTGGTTGTTGATAACAGCTCGACATATTTTACTAGCTTGTGTTATCTCTGGGCTGGCAAGTGGTCAGGTTATCCATCAAAGGGTGTGTATACTACCCAACAATTTTTTATTCATGTTTGAACTCGACCTTTGAAAGTGGAATGTATGAAAAAAAGTACAGATTTTCAGCCGTAGCTGTCCTCTTCGTTTTGTTAAGTGAATCAACATAATAAACAATATTAAGATGAGGAAACGTATGTAGATCGATTGATAAGGCTGTAAAGCTTAATCAAATAAGGTGGTTGGAACATGTGTGATGCACACTAAACTACTTCCCTCCTCAAAGAGCAAAACGGACTGGAATATCATTGGTCTGGAAGAATTAGAGATGGGTATTACAAAATGTGGAACGAATATGTGATACCTCTAAATATTGTTGTAAAACATATATATATACCACAAGATAATTTGAGACTATTGGATAAATCGCACGGGTGTATCTGTTCCCTGTCATCCACCTTTTATATCAAATTGCATTCAGTTATTCTTCTCTTCCATAAGTTTTTCCACTGTAATGCCATTGTATCTTTTCCTTAGTGCGGTGTGATTTGAAGTTTGGCAACTCGAAATGGTTCACTTCTATGCCAAGTTCTACGTTAATTTGTTGGGTATTGGTTCATCTTGTCCATGTTGGTTATATTTGGTTATATTTCTTCTTAATCAACCATCTGGACAGGCAAATCTAGATAATTTAAATGCATGTAGTTTCCATCCTTTATCACTGTTGGGTCGAATAACTTTCCCCTAAATGGGGCAGGTTTGTTTGAATTCTATGAATTTGGTAAATAACTTGAATAGCTAAAATATACTCAAACCCAAAATAGATATTTGCAACTTGCTTAGTTGTTAATAAAACAGGATTCAGTGAACCTCAAGGGAAAAGTGTTATTATTTTTTTCTTATTCCTTTACGTTCCCAGTGGAACATAGGGCTTCAAGCTAGAGGCTTGAAGTTTCAGTAGCAGTGGTGTTTATTTTTACGGGGTGTGGTTGCTAGCCTCATGCCCAACCTTCCTTCTTTGCCAGTCCTATTACTTGCATAGCGAGGTGAAGGAGTGTGTCGCTTGGGGATCGAATCCCGGACCACATGCATAGCTGGCGAGCATTCTACTGCTGCGTCACCGACGCACAAGGGAAGAGTGTTAACGGGTTTATTTTTATAATCAACAGTTCACACTAACTGTTATGTGAAACATGAGTAAGCGGAGATAATAACATGCAAATTGAATTATTATTATTATCATTAAGATACTCTCTCAAAGTTTACATTTTTCATGAACATTCCAGCAACTGTATAATATCAATCTCGAAGGTTACTTCATTCAGACTCCGTCTTTTATTACATTTCGTATCAACAGAGGATACAATGGCTGACTGCCGTTCACAACATCAGCATCCGAATTAGGCTTTTTACACAGGCGCGCAGATACTCACCACGTTTGACTTCATATCTTGATTCTTTTTTTGTTAAAGAGCAGTGCTTCGTCACTCGTATATAACTGTTGTATATTAAAGTAAATCATGGTAATAGAAAGGATATTATTCACTTTATGCGTGAGCGATAAATGAATTATTTTGGCTAGTGATTATTAAAGTTAAGCAGTCTGCCAATAGCATATTTCTTACCGTAACTTTATTATATGTTGGCATATAAAAATCGACTTACTCGGTATAAAACTGTATTCACCATGTACTTCGGTAACTTCACCAGTGTTGCATATTACCTTTCTCTTTGTTACAATAGTCAGACTCACTCAACTTATCATCAGATGGTTTACCAGTTCCTATACAAAATGGTCAAATCCATTCATCTCCTGGTGGTGGTACTGTAGGCAATCAATCGACAGCAACATTAACGTCTACATGTTTAAACAGTATTACTCATAACGCTCTACAAAATTTACCCAGTCCACAACAGCACCTGAATTCTAATTCACTGTCAGCTGCATCAGGTACTTTAGTAGTTACGAGCACACCAACAACACCACCAATCACAGCCAATACAACAATTCTTCCCGCACAAGGTGACATCTATTCTAATCATCAGTCTGTACAAAATCAGCTTAAATTAGCTCAAGCACATGTAAAACGATTGGAAGCAGAGATTAGTCATCTTAAGCGTTATGCAATGCCTACGATGGGTGGTTCCATGAACGGTGGATCAGCTTATCCTACGAATTATCCCAATATCGAGGTAAGTGAGTAGATATATACAGTAATGTTACTGGATTTGTAACATTCGTTCTTCACCTCCCTGTCTAATTTTACGGATTGATTATTACTAATAGATATATTGTGACAAAACTATGTAACTATGGTGATTTCGTTAACGGTCATAATTTAAAATTTGTATTCGTTACCTTCGAGTAAACATCTCTACATAGCCTACATCGGTCATGACCTAAGTGACTTAGATGTTAGATTTCTGACTTCAAAACTATGTGATGATGAGGAGTCATCTATATACGGAAATATGGGCTTCTCCAATGTTATAATCATGACTTTTTGCAGTAAATTGATTATTGATATAAGTATAAAATTTGGGCACTGTGGTGGAGTATAACTCCATTATGGATAAGATTTTATTTTGATAAATCACACAGTGTTGTATAGTAATGTTGTGGTGGTGTGATACAGACAATGTGTGCCAACGGAATGCTATTCTCACATGTTCCCACAGTTCAATTAGGCATTAACAACAGAATGCGATATATATCTATTTGAACATTCTATTTGATGTTAGAGACAGAATACTTTCCCACAGTTCAATAGTACTGCATTGGCGACAGAATGCTACTGTATATTTGAACATTCTATTTCATGTTGTTTGACGTAAATCAAAATCACACGCTCAGTGATTGGTTAAAGAATATAAACTGTATAGATATAAATAGCTGTTTGATTACTTGAAAATATACGTTTGCTTCCGTGTCTAGCCTTTTGTTGTTACAATATTAACTGATGTCGTTTCGAGCACAAATTATTGCTCATAATCATATAAAGTAGCTCGCTCAACTTTTTTGCTTCATTTATATACATGAGTAAAATTGGTTATTCATTTGAATAAAATCGAGTCTACCAACATATGCAACAGAAATGACTTAACGCGAATACCAGAGATATGGAAGATATTATTACCAGTCAAATCAGAGGACAATAAATAATGTTAAAATGTATTCAATTCACATTTTATGACATTCTAACAAGTTACTTATTTTTACTGTGAAAAACATCTTATTTCCCATCTTATTGTATTTTATTGATAACACTAATATTATTTCCGAATGTACTTTATCTTAAATTGATTTTATTCAAATGTCTAATCATCAATTTTTACTCGTGTATATAAATGAAGCAAGAAAGTTGGGCGAGTAGTGCCTTGATATGATTATGAGTGGCAATAATTTGTGCTCAAAACGTCAACACTGTGTGATGTATCAAAATAAAATCTTATCCATAATGGAGTAAATTGATTCGAGTTATGATTCCTATCTCTCTCTCGATTATTATATTATTGTTCCTTTGGGTTCCTAGTGGAACATAGGGCTTCAACTGCATGCCTCCACTTGCTTCTGTCTTCTGCTGTACTTTTCACTTGCATCCATGTTAATCCATACTGTTTCAAGTGTTGGTTTGTAGGGATTTGATTGGTTACAGGATTTTCATCATGAGCTGACATTAGTTAAAGAACCATTTCTAAAACCTGAGAGTACTGGACAGCTGTTCCGTCCTAGTTTGGGACTCTTCATCAGTACGCACCCACCGGGATTCGAACCCAGGACCTTCTGGTTACAAGGCGAGTTCGTATACCATTAAGCCACTGGGACCCGATCCAATAGTCCATACTGTTTCAGTTCTTGTTCACACGATCTCCTCCATGTCACCCTTGGACGTCCCACTTGCCGCTTCCCTTTCGGGTTCCACTCGAGCTATGGCCTGACGCGCGATGTCACCCAGTGGCCTCCTCAGCGAGTGTCCAATCCATCTCCACTTTCTCCTGCATATTTGTTGAGCGATTGGTTCTTGTTTTGTTTGTTCCCATAGCTTCTTGTTGGTGATTCTTTCCGGCCATCTGATCTTCAGTGTAGAGCGAAGACAGTTGTTGATAAAGGTCTGCAACAGGCTGTTGGAAATATTCTTTGTGACCCGCCAAGTTTCTGATCCATCCGTATAGAAGAACTGACTGACTTGACGTTTGTATTGAAAATCCGAATCACTTTGTTGTTGATGCAGGCTGAGTGACGAAGATTTCCAGATTGGTTTCAGGTTGATGAATGTGTTTCTCGCCTTCCCGATTCTCGATTTGACATCCTCATCCGTTCCTCCTGTAGTTGAGACTATGCTCCCTCCCTAAATAAGTGAAAGAAGTAACCTCTTTCAAGTCCCTCCCGTTGATGGTGATTGGCGCTGGATGTTGCTGCTGTTGTTGATTAAAATAGAATCATACATTTAGCTTCTATACCCATAAGAACAAATCATGCAAACAGTAGTTTATACATGATTTTTATTAAAACTTTATTATTATTTATTAAAGTCATCTATGCATGCAATTGACTCATGAACCAAACTAATGTCAATAGATTTTGTTACATAGTGTGTGTTCCGTTATTCGAAATACTTGGCGGTCATAGGCATAATGGCAAATAGTTGTTTATAATTTTCTTATATAAGGAAATTATGAGTGTTAAGTTTACTTGACAAATGTTATTACAGTTCGACTTCGTTTTTTCTAAGAAAATAAGCTTGTTCGCTTCAAGCATAGATGCGATTCGGCGTCTATCTATATACACTACTAAACTGGTGTGTACACAGCCCACACACAACTCACCTCATATAGATTGTTAGTGTGCACTGCACCGTATTTTCTCACAGTAAATGTTTGGAGGCAAGTGTAAAAATAGCTCATGACACAAATTTTAACTTCTTGTGCTATCCATCAGTGAAAGATTTTGCTAGTAGTTTCAGGGATTTTGAGATTGGAATGAAATACGAACGTGTAAACATTTCTGCACACAAGACAACAATACTATACTAGTCATTCTATCAGATCATAAAATCGGTTACCTAGCAACCGAATAGCCAAAAATGACTGAACACAATAAATAAGGATGTCACTTTTACAAAAACTTACTCTCGATAAATGCTGAAACACACTTGAAAATTGGGTTTAAAAGCTCCTGTCTTCAAGTTACTGACATCAAATATAGTGCTGTTTCTATATATAACCCTTTAACTTTATTTACCAAAATATTCATTTGTCAGTGAATCTAAGGTTATTTTCTGAACGACATGTTTTTTCTCTTCTGATTTTATGTCAACCCCAACAGTCAGGAATATCCATGGATTCTGCTGATGTTCCGGATCTACGATGTGGTATTTCTCGTCTTGAGTTAGACGGATCCAATGGTGGTTGCAGCAGTTTACTTAACAGTAACGGTGAATGGGTCAACGAGCTAAGTATCAATAATAAGCCAAAACCAGTTGGAACTATCCACCCTTCATTAGTACACGGAAATCAGAATCGATCCGCTTGGACAGATCGTGCATCACAGGATACTATCCGATCACTGCATACACGTCTTGGAATTGTATTAAAAGATGCCTTAGAAATTCATAATCGCCTTGGATCACTTTTGTCTTCACCGTCTATAGACTGAGTCTTCTATCATCTTCTCTCTAGATGGTACAATCAAATAGCCTTATTTCCATTTCACTGTACATTGTTGTTGTGGTTTTTTTCTCTCCCTAAGGATGTGTATGTTGCATGACTAGGTTTTCCAGTGACCCCATCCACACTGGGTTTTTTTTTTAAATTTTCATCGAGTGGGAGTGTCTCTCCTGTTTCGACATAGAAGAATAGTATATGAACACATATTATTAGTTGTATGTGCTGTACAGTTCCGTACTGAAACTTCTCTTGATGAAAACAATCATATATATGATTTTTGATTTTACTTCAAGGTGCATCACTACAATTCTGTTTCGTCAAGTGAAATTTCTCCTTTTCTTGTGTCTTCTTAATACCCCCCCCTTTTTATCTTTTAAATAAATCATTGTGTTCTTAATATCGGGTGTAAATTTATTCATCTCAAAATAATTGTTAACACTACTGTTAATTGTCCCAATTAGAAAACAATTTGTGCGTAATTGTCTGCTTTTTCTGAATAACTGCGCCGTTTATCAGCACATCAGATAAGTAGAAACTATAGGAAATCAAAGAGCACTGAATATCTCTCTCTTTCATCATTAGTTGTGACCATTATAAACACTGCATATATTCCAAACCCCTAAAGGATATCGGGCTTAAGATAGGACTTCGTTTCATAATGCAAAGCTCGATCACACACTCGGATATTGTGCTTTCCCGCTATTCTCAAGACATTTTATGTCGTGAAATTATAGACTGAGCGAATAAGATTTTTGTTCATTTGGTGATGGTCAACAGCGGAATCTAAGAAGCAAGCTCGAGACTAATTTGGTTCCTTTAGACAAAAGTACCTACGTCCCAGGGAAAGTTGCCTCTACGGTACTTTTTACGCTAGTGAGCCATCTCTGGTGCTAATGCTATCGTTTTAATTCATGAAAAATCCCCATTCGAACATTAATAGACAAAAGACCCTTTTTGAAGGAGAAGCCCAAAGGACAAGATCCCGCACCTAACCACTTCTATGTGTATATATTAGTTAACCTGTTTCTGTGGAGCCAGGTACATCGGTCGTTCGACGCGCATCCTGTCAAAAAGGGTCAAAGAACACTCTCCAGCGTGGCTGTATAAGGAGTGCAATAATCGAACATCTCGTCAACACTGGTCATTCCATCTCAATAAATGCCTCCTTCAAAGTAATCTACAAAGTGAAGAACAACCTGCCAAAGACAATACGTTTCCGTCTTCTTTGCATTGCAGAAGCCCTAGCCATTCAGTTGGAAGAACCAGAACTACGGATACAAAAGAAAATTATTCAACCACTTCTACTCCCATGGTAACAACTCTGTTGATTCGACTTGTATGCTTATTTTTCTAACTGCTTAAGACTCTTGCATAATTCCGTGTGTTATTTTGCTTGCATGTACACCCTGAGCACAACTCTTTCATCATACTATTCATGTTATTACGTAACTCTTCTCTGACAATCGTTTGTTACAACTCATCACTTTTGTTACTACCCTCTTATATCAACATCCAATTCATCTGAACTTACTAATTGTATTTTCGTTTGGCGAATTTAATGTACACACACATACAAAACAACCATATATGTTTGCGATTGTACAGCTATGAAAATGAATTCGCTGAAAAGAGACTCTTCGCTGAACTACTGGTCTTCTGTCTACTAATGCTATCTTTTACAGATTCTATGAATGTGTGAATCAACTGTCTAATAGCATACACAGTCTTAGTGACTAACTAGAACTTCTATTATTTATCTTGTTGTTTTTTCTCCATTGTTATGTTATCGAAGACAAGTGTTACGCAACTGCTCATTTGTTATCTAGTATATTTGACCTTTGACCGGAAATCGTCCTGAAATGCATCACTTTTCTTAATACAGCTTAGTAAGTGATTCGATTAGAGCGAAAAATCTAAAATGATATGACCAAGTTGCTTACTGTATTTGATTTTACGAACATTTAATCAGAACAAACGAGAAATTTCGATACAAACAGAGACAATTCTTCTCATCCAGCAATTGTCAAAGTAAAACAAGCACCATCGCTCAGCAGAGTACATGAGTACGGTTTCTCCTTGAACTCTTACCACTAACTGACATAAGCGCTTATGGAGCGAGTTATATTGACCGTTGCTCTAGGAACTTGATTTTCCGTGCTCGGGAACATCTACCAGTGTGGCTAAGTAAAGGTGTAGTACAAACCATCAACAGTTCGATATTCGATCACCTGGTCCAAACTGGCCACAAAGCCAGCATTGAGGATTCTTCCCTATCATCTACCGAGTCCCAAATAAATTTCCAAACAGCAGAGACTATCGCAATTCGCCTTAAACAACCGGTGCTCTGTGTTCAGAAGAAGCAAGTCCAGCCCACTACTACTGCCCTGGCCGGCCTTCAGTGGAGACTATAAATTCATGAATTTGTATTAGTATCTTTCCTAATTTTTCTGATATTCAGTGTCTTGTTATGGTGATGCTATCGAACTGTAATCCATTGATATTATTATTGATTCGAAGATATTTAAGCATTAATCTTGTTAATAACACTAATTCATTCACTATTATGTATATATAACTGCAGAACCTAATGATGAAGTTATCGAAAAGAATATTCTTTGTTCAGTAACCATTCTTTTGAGGAAATTTTAATGGGCACGAATGACAGATAATTTTAAAATGTACTCCAAAATTGTTAAGAATGTAACTCAAGAGAAGCCAGAATCAACGTTTAACGCATTATTGTCACGCGCATCCCTGACTAATCTAATAGCACACTCAAATTATTCGTATGTCAAAAGGGTTATTAATCACCTATCGGTGTATAATTGATACATCAGCGTTAAGTAAATGCACTGATGATGAAAAACGAAGACTGTTATACTTTCCTAGACTTAATTAACATTTCAGTATACCTTATTTTTAAAATCTACTTTCCTAATACTTTACCGCTGTTTGCATTGACTCCATTTATCTGAATTCTTAAGTTCTGTAGCGGTAGATAATTCCCCCAAAATTATTTGCATACACAGCATTTACCACTCAACATTGGATGTTGACTTTCACTGTTTAAGTCGACTTGTTTAGCTGAAGGCTTGCGGCCAAGCATCCATGCCATTTGGCATGTCGTCGTATTGTGTTCGGTAGTTCGTGCATGATCCTTAGCTAGTTAAGCAAGCATCCTCGCGCACTATGAATTTGGTCCCAAAATATACTTCGTATTTGGGATGATCCTTTAGTTTACGCAGAACAAATACTATATATAGTTCCAAAATAATTGGATGCCATGTGAGAAGTAGACACATGTAAAACTTATATTTGTAAACACTCAGAGAAATTGAAACAAGTTCTGACGTTTCATTCGGTAAACTAACTGGTCCGAACTTCTTCGGGAAAGTTAAAATAACAAAGGTTTATATACAAGAAGGATATCTCTTGTTTTTAAAAACTTTGTGTAATCACGAGTCATGAATCAAGTAAAAAACAACAATAAACAAAATTTCATTCGCCTAGTTTGGGACTCCTCATCAGTACGCACCCACCGGATTCGAACCCGCCTTGTGACCAGAAGGTCCTGGGTTCGAATTCCGTTTGATTGGTTACAGATTTATCACGAGCTGATGAAACAGCTGTCCGTATCCCAGGTTTTCCAATGGTTCTCTAACTAATTTGACCTCATGATGAAATATTATTCTACTTTTGTTAAACACTGTACTTTTTCATCAGATTTCTAGTGATTACGTTCGACTTTGGAAAACTTAACTGTTTATTAAATAAAAATGTCCATTCAACAGATTGCGTCTGATTATGACGAAGGTATCATCCACGTATCTTAACCACATTCTTAGAGGACTAGAGCATCTCATAATTGCATTTGCTTCTAATAAGTGCATAAATAGATTGGCGACTAGGGAAGACACTGGTTATCCCACAGCAATGCCTTTTTTGACGGTAAAGAACCCCTCTATACTATAAGAGTTGTGGGTATAGGAACTTGCGTTAGTATCCATCATACCGTCCGTAAACGTCAACTCACCTTCCTCTAAATTCCCAACTATTAACATTAGGGTATAAAGACTTCCGAATACACATTGCTTACAAGAAATGTAATAGACGTCGATCTTGTATTACTAGTCATTGTCTAGTTTTATCAATCAAACTTGTCCCAACTTCAGATATTAAAAGTCTCAGTATTGATAAACCGGAATGTTTATTAGTAGACATTGACAAGCATACAAAAACTAATAACAAACACCAAATAAAAATGTGTCACATTAATAGAAATTGTAGAAATGCCGAGGTCTGTGTTTTAACATAAATGCTGCCACCATGTTTATTATAAAAATATGAGTATAATATATATAGACACATAAACACGAATACATGCAAATAACACTTATTCTTCGCAAACAAACACTTCCCGCCTGATTCGTTTCATTTCTTGATAGGAATCAGAATCAGGATTAGCACCACGTTTACGAAATGGTTTGTTGTTTTGCTTTAACATAACTAAGGGATTTTGCGTAATGTAATATCCCGAGAAGGAATTCACCGGTTCTTCTTCATCATCTGAAGCCACTTCATCGTATATAGTTTCACAGTCATCCATATTAATAGCTCTACGATCGATTGTGCTGAAAGCTAACGGTTCAGTTGGTGAGAGGTACATTGGTGCCTCATGTCCATTAAAAGCATAATCTTCTGCACACTCGACAAATCCATACTCCATATTAGTATCGAGAGAAAGTAAACTGTTTTTGTAAACAGATTCGTAGACAGCATAAATTGCATACTCATTAGATACATCAGCCCTTTGGTTTTTCATGTCATTGGATGCAGTATTAGGACTTGAATAGTTGTCCTTCTCAAACACTGGTATCACATTCGTGTGGCATGTCGGACAGAAAGCAGTTGGCAATGCATTACAACATTCTTGTGGTGAGTCATACAATGGATCTTCACATTTTGATCCATCTTCAGAATTGTTCAAGATATTTGATAGAGATTCATAGGATGATAAACGCGTCGCATCTAATTTACTGCATATCTTAGATCTACGACGTTGTCGAACACACTTTGACTTGTTGTTATCAAGATTCTCACGTAAGGGACGTGCAGATGTTACGCTTGACCTCTTTCTGGTACAAAATAATGACCATAATAATGGCTTCTTTTTAATCTTCAATTTGTTTTCTACTAAAGCACGCTGGGAACCAGAACTCTTAGAGAACAGCCATCGCATTATTGACTGAAAAAGACAAGTATAAAAATCCACGTTAACGTTTAGAAAAAGAGAACATAAAATGCAGTCTGAAAGGCCGCCGTCCTCACCAAGTACTGAAGTTACTACTAATCCAATCACTGCCAAATTCTTAATTGTCATATTGGCAGTAGTTTCAAAGAGCAATAGACACTAACTGTTTCTAGTTTTCGTTTAACAAAGAGAACCTCCTACAGAGGTGCACAGTTTAAATTGCGACAATTTAAAACAAGATAGATCATAACAGATAATCACCAAATCAGAAATCAGCTATACAGGGTCGTTATATCAATTTCTTTGGTTAGAAAGTATAACACAGGCGACCATTGAAGTTTTCACAAATCAAATGCAAGAAAGGTTCGGAATTCGTTACGGTAGCTAAATGGTATTATTAATCCACCAGATTATGCCGCATTCAGACACATATAAGCAGAAAAGACCATCTTTTAAAACTCGAATGATAACGCGTTGGTCTATGCACATATGGTCGGAACCAAGTAACTTCTAGAAATAAATGTGTTAAATTTAGGAACAAATGCATTTAGAGAATTATTATAGAACTGCTAAAGCAGATATTAAGACGTAGAAGAAATGCTCATTTTGACAATTGTTTAAAACTGTATGAATCGAGTTGACTATTTTATGCGCCATGATACAGTCTAATCAGACATACAATTAGTGGTTAGCAGAAAACTAGATTGGTAAAAACACATTGCTTCAGTAAGCGTGCCATCATTATTTGGTCTGAGTTACAGATGGAAATGTAGGCCTTCTGGCCGTTGCCCATGAGACACTAGTAACTAGGTAAGGCATTTTAACATGAATTACAGTGCGCTAAAGTCTGTCTTGGTTTATGCGGTAGCATGCAGGTCATCTAAACCACGCGTTATCAGTTGGAGATCAAAAGCTGTAAGCATAATATGTGACATTTTTGGCAGGAGCATACTTCTGATTGAACTGATACAAATAGCAGAGAAGTCTCACCATTTGGGTATCTTCGGGAGTACTGTCAGTGTGCATTGAGATATATTTGGGCAATGAAAATCGTAGTGTGCGTCCGACCGGCTAAGACTAGACTTATAGCTCTTTGGTGAAAAGCTTCCAACCCTTCCCTTGTGAAATGAAACCTCTTTGAAACAAAGTCTGCTTCCAACTACCAACACCTAGAAACATAGACTGAGGTGGCTTCACTAATGCTTAGTGTTTCTTTAACAACTAAAACCAGTTAGACGGATAATTTTCCATGAAATAAGAGATAAACCAATGTGGAGTTCCGCATAGACATATACTGGCATAAATCACAACAGAATTAATGTGTGGCAGAGCATAATTTAACAAAAACCGGTGAAAACCGTCACAAGTTTAAAGAAATGAATACACCTGTACTGTTGTGGACAACATCACACCATATCACAAACAGTCTGTATTTATTTATTCTTAGCATCTCAAGGACCCAAGACGAATAGTCTGGACTTCTGTATGCTGCGTACGCTAACAGATAATATCATACATTGATGCTGCGTTTTTGCCTGAGCACACCTAGTTCTTCACTTAAGTTCCACATCAGCGAACATTTACTAGTCAGTAAAGTGGCTTGGGATACATTTCCTAATAACATCAACAGACGTAGCTTCCAATCTTTCTTGTTCTTGTTATTTAATATCGTATTTTAATTTTAGAATTACCCAGCATGTAGTACCAACTAAATAAAGTAATGCAACGTGAATGCAGATAGTCACAAACTTTTGATTTTTACTTGCAACATATCTATCACACAACCGTGAAATAAGACAAAGCGAACTGTTGCACGGCAAATGAGCCCCTTCGGGGACAAACAGCTATCCCACCGGAGCCGAGAAACCTAGGTTAATTAGTGTCAAATAACCCTTACATAACAATACCGACATTTTATCAGCCACCAATCTACTAGAGCTAACCAACACACCCGACTACTTCATTTCCTTCCGTAAAATAAGGATCGGTGCACATCAGTTATGCATCAGGAGATAAACAAATATCAAACACACTCAGATTTTTTAAACAAGACATTCAAAAAACCGTAATTTGTTGGTGTCTATGCCCAAAAAGGTTTCATCTGAACACTGTCATAGTTAAAAAGGACTTCCATAGATAGCAAGTTAGTTTCTGAGACAGAAGTCGTATTCATTGATACATCTACACAAAACTAAATTATGACGATTATATAAGGATCTCAGTCGGAAAACAGTGCACGGTGTTACTTTAGATGGCATTTAAACATAAACTCTCACAGGCACAGGAGATAATATCGAGTGCATAACCAGGATAAAATATTACCCCAACACTCCCTTTACATCCAGAAATAGACAAAACACTACAAGATCAGCAAAGTCGGGTGCTGCCTTTAGTTTCAGAAATAAAGCGATCGCACACTTCAGGTTAGATGTCTACCGTTTCAAACATGGCATCTTAAATAGACCTAGTTCCCTGGGATTTGTTTTCCCAAAACTAAGAACAGTCTTTGCACAACCAACAATTTACACAAGCTAGGTGGAAATGTCTCGAATTCCCATAAAATAACTACTGAATAAGTTATTATGACAGTAATGCTTTACGATTAACCCTAAACATAAAACCATTGGATCTTATTTCTTCCCGCTGTGAATTACAGATAGCTTCAACTAAAGAGTCGGATTCTATGCCCAATCTTTCTTGGAGATCGACCCACTTGCCAGAGTCTTCTACAGTCCATCCACTTAAGTACCTTAGATAACTAATGAGTGGTACTTGTTCTGATATCTTTCGGATTTCCTCCACTTGTTACCCACTATAGCAAGTGAGTAAAAGAAATTCCCAGTACATATTATTCCTTCCTTTGCGTTCCGAGTAGAAAATTGGGTTTCAGAGGCATATCTCCATTACACTTAGCACTTTCAGCTAGCTCCATTCAGTTAGTACAAAAAAGTTTCGTCATTTCTGATTTTCAAACTTCAACCTCAAGTAAACACCTGCTTTAACTAGATAATAAGCGATGTTCAAAGAAGTAGAAAGCTACCATTGATATCTCAAACTAATGACTTTAAGCAAATCGGTCTATTCATACCCATCGTCAGCTTCATTCCCACAATAGTTAGACGAAATAGTACCTCCACCTTGGTTTGAAGTCTGTTTAAGCCAGTTCGACATCGCTTTCTTAGTGTAGTTTTGAGCTGCATAATCTCTCAGACCCTGTACAAAGCTAAGTGTATCAAAGACAAACAGACCCTAACCAAAAACAACTGACTTTTATTCAATAGAGCTGAATTATGCATAAGCTAACTATCTCTCTGGATGTTCCAGTCAGTCCCAGGAATATGAAACAGTAAACTGTGTACAAGCCACTGAGGCGATATTCACCTACTAAGCGACTTGCAGTACGTCCAAGTGTCATTGAATCTTCGAGTTAATTAGTTAGCAACACGAGCACGCATTTTAATCGAGACAGGAATGAGCAAGCAAACATAGTTACAGGACATTCTAAGCACGGAGAGACCAGTTACCACAGTCCTTGACTGCATGCACTGAAGTGCTGCAAGTCAGAGGTTTATCAGCCAGGCGACTGAGCGAGGCAGCCCTGCAGGAAGGATTGGAATGTATGACTATTGGCACCGACCTTCAAGTTTACTCGTGTGCAGAGGAATCATTGGTGGCTTGATTGTTTTCTGACATAACCAGTAGTATGTCTACCCTGAAAATACCATCAGAGAATTAACAGCTTACATTGTGACGGCAGGCGTTTTTGCTTTGTTGCGATAGCCACCTTCAGCAACAGTATTCAAGGCACCATATCTTGTAGGGTCATTGTCACATGCAGGCTCAATCAAAGCATTAAGATGGCAATTGGCCACCGGGTAAAGCATTTTCAGAGTGGAGTATATACCATACAACACTTACTAAATACAGGACGAGTATGTGGTTACATATCACCCCACTATCAATGGCACAACTTCTAAGTCATGAATAGAGTGTCAGAAAATAAAACATACCAGGTACCCACGAAACTTAGTACTATGAAACAAAAGATGTGTGTTTAACTGGAACGCGAGAACTTCGCGATTAAACGTGTCGCTAAAAATGGCTCAGAAAGAAAATATTACTAGTCATATCGCAGCTGCTTTTTTTAAGACACAAAAATAGTCAAATTATTTGCATGCCTTGCTTAACCATCCTGTAAAGTATCTCGCGCAGATGCTACATTAAGCTTGTGTTTTAGGTGAATTAATTAACATATCGTCATAGTTTAGGCCAAAGATAGATTTGGAACAAAGTGAATTAATTATACAACTGACATCAAAAAACTAATGACTAAATGCAGCCATGTTTTTTTATTCCCTGTGTGGGTAGAAAAAGGAGAAAACAAGTACGAGCAGTGGATATACAGTATGGATAACAATGCTTACGAAAATCTTTAACGTTTTGATGTAGCTGTATCCACTAAGCTCATGGATATCCTTGCACTGAGGTTAAAACTAAACCTACTTTCAACCGATGACATCTGACTAACACATGTAGGATGCAGGCTGTTGTTGTAAGTAAAGGGATTAAGTAGTAAATAAAACGATGCGTTAGATGCGAAAGCTGTCACTGATTAATTAAGAACTAGGAGATGGCTAGGTCACGTGCTGCGCATGCCTAACCATCGCCTCCCCCGACGGACGGGCATTACTAGCTGATATAGGTGCAGGTAGGAAAAGAGTAAGTGGTGGCCAAACAAAAACATGGCCTCATCAATCCATGAAATCCCTGACAGTTAAACTGAGTCAGGTAGGGAGATGCAGACTTCCGGGTTGGGGCCTGCCTTCGGGACTCTAAGAATCAATGGCTGGAGACAATAGGTGACATGGCTCAAAATCGTTGTCAATGGCTTACGCAGATGTATTCAGTCAGTCTCTGTAATCTTTCATATTCCTTTCTACGACTACTCATTCTGTTTCACTCTTATACTTGTCAAAACTCTATTGATTCTTTTC